TCTCTCTAATTGATTGTTTGGGATTAAGAATTTCGCGGAATTGGTATTTGTGTGTTAATACTAATACACGACACACACTATAATAACTGGTTGTATAATATTATAGTGAAGTGATTTGAAATGCCAAATGAAGTCTCGCTTTTGGGTGAACACAATACGAGAGAATCCAATAAAGCGCTGGGGTTTTAGTGCCGACTTTGCGCTGGGATTACACTTTCAGTCTCCAACTCTAGAAAAAAGTTGTTTAAGAGTTTTGTTATAAGTAAAGAATATTTTTATTATAGAAAACACATTAAATTAATTAGATTTTTACAAAACGAAAAATATTTGTTTCGTAGCAAATAGTTGAGNAATTACAAATAACATGTAGGTCCCTTATCTGTAATTATTCTCTAAAGCAATATTTGGCAAAATTCAATGATTTCCCGAAATATAGTGTTGTTGTCTATAATTCAAGTGTTGTATTCACTTAAACAAATGTACGGACATTCGTATACTAGCAAAACATAAGTGCATTGTTAAGTACATCGAAAATAGATAATAAACCTCTTATTAAATAAAATATTAGCTGTATTTGTATGCATTTTAATGCAATGACATGTATCGAGAATACTGTGTGACTCGGAGTCATGAAACTGTGAGCCTAATATTGATTTAAAAAATACACTTAAAATTGACTCAAAAATGATTATTTCCTTATTTAAAATTACAATTTAAAGCACGGGTTCGCTATAAATCCCTAAATAAATAAAAAGCATCTCATTGTTCAAATTGAATTTGATGAATATTTATACTTATATTTGCATTTATATGTAATATTTGAAGATCCGCTTCATTACAATAAATATTTATAAAACAAAATATTTTATAATAATAAGAATAAGTATATTAATTAAAAAAATTGTTGCCTTAACAACCAATATTATTAGATATATCACTTGTAGCACCATAGAAAATATGTAATGTAAAGGGCAATATTATTAAAAATAACAGTGGCTATAAATAAATATAAGCAAGCACAAACCTTGACGGGAACGCAAACACATATCAATAAGAGATCAGCGAAAGCAAGACTCGCTAAGAATACATTGGAAAGGGTTCGCATTCGCCTGAAGTGCACCACTGTATACACGATGAGACCATTGCCTAAACAAACGCCAAACAAATATTTGTAGACTTTTGTAGCGAAAAGTTTTATATTTCCAAAAATTTTAATATCATAATATCGATCATTACCGATGAGACCGGCAAACAGTGTGAGACCTAAAGGAAAGGCATGAACAGTGATGAGAATTAATTGCAATGTTCATTAAATGCTAATTACAGGACATACCGTAGACAATGGCGGTGGGTATGAGATCCCATAAGTTGAAACTCGCAAACGATTCCTCGATTTCGTACTCATAGTCTTGAAATGTATGGTTAGTCTTATTAGTATTGGGCATAAAAAGCGCGTCAAACGACGGCTCCATCACTTCCTCTCACTCTATATTTGGTGGAAAACACGAAAAAATAAGTTTTTGTTTGTTTGGTATATGTTTTTTTCACACTTTTATTACCCCTTACGAGTAGAGCCGAAGTGGTCTATACTTTTTCTCTCTAATTGATTGTTTGGGATTAAGAATTTCGCGGAATTGGTATTTGTGTGTTAATACTAATACACGACACACACTATAATAACTGGTTGTATAATATTATAGTGAAGTGATTTGAAATGCCAAATGAAGTCTCGCTTTTGGGTGAACACAATACGAGAGAATCCAATAAAGCGCTGGGGTTTTAGTGCCGACTTTGCGCTGGGATTACACTTTCAGTCTCCAACTCTAGAAAAAAGTTGTTTAAGAGTTTTGTTATAAGTAAAGAATATTTTTATTATAGAAAACACATTAAATTAATTAGATTTTTACAAAACGAAAAATATTTGTTTCGTAGCAAATAGTTGAGCGGAAAAAGTGAAATTATATTTATTTTTAAAATTTTTGTCACAACCTTTTTTTCTCATTCATTTAGTGTGTATATACATTGTATGATACAGTCTATGTTGCTATTTGTACAATCAAAACACAAATATGCGAATGTAACATTTTTGTCAATAAATCCTTAAAAATCAATTGTAAGCAAATATCAAGTTTCAAATTATTTTAAAAGGACTGTTAGTCGCAAATATTTCCGATAAGAGACTAAACAAACAAATACCGTACTCTCGAAAAGTATCGTTTAATATGTTTACAGTCTATTCCTTAATGTAGTTTTAAGTGCAGAATATATAGTAAATTCTGAGACAAGTTTATACATTACTTTTAATGGTAGTATTCTTGTCTACATATTCTTGTATATCAAAAACAACATATTCAGCGGTCAAGTGTTGCCAACATTTGTTTGTGTCATATAATGACTGTAAATTCTGAGACAAGTTTATACATTACTTTTAATGGTAGTATTCTTGTCTACATATTCTTGTATATCAAAAACAACATATTCAGCGGTCAAGTGTTGCCAACATTTGTTTGTGTCATATAATGACGTATTACTGCATCAAAAGGTGTTTCACATTTACCGAGAGTATTGGAAACCTAATATCTAATGCATTGTAGTCATTATTATTGACCACAACATTAACCAAGGTTTGTAAAAAAGACATACAATTTTTGTGTCTCATACGCGTTGTATTCCCATATTTTTCAGTAATAATCACTGGGAATACAGTTGTGTTTACACAGTATATTAAACATTTTAACAACACTTTTTAAATGAATACAATACCATTAAAAGTAATGTTTTCCGCGAAAAAGCTCTTACTTTAAGCACAAATTATCAAAAATTGATTCATAAAAGTAGCCGTTTTTCGCATGAATTTATTAGCGCACAATGCAATGGTTAGGCGATGGGAAAGGCATACAATTTATAAACCAGTGCATGCATTCACTTATTTAGTTAATGAGAAAGTTTCGATGCATTTGTTTTAGTTTTGTGTTTCAGATCTCTATTGTGGATATCAAGTGAAAGTCGACTGCATTTGACGTTCAGATAGTGTTCGCGTTGTGTAAGCGATACGCGACTGGAGTCTCGGCATTGGATACACCATTGGATGCAAACCAATGATATAGTCGTGAAAACAATATAAATATATATCTCTTTCTCTCACATGCCTTTCCTTCTGCTGTAAAGTGAATAAATTTCGTTTAATTTAATTGAAATGAATTTATTTATTTCGGTGTAATTGTTTTAAATGAAACACATGTTTTGCTCGTTTAATATGCTTTTTATCTAATGTTTTTCCACTGCATAGACAGCCACTCAAGCGAATCGCGTTTTAGTATCTATTATACGGTTATTATAATGTATTATAGTTTTAATTTAATCACAATTATTATATACCGTATATATTTATTGTCATGTCTATCGTATATATAATTGTGTATAAATCTATGTACCTGTGCTCTGATAACAATGCTTTAGTGTATTAAATAAATTTTTATTAATTATATAATACAATCCTAAAGGTTTACTTTAATTATAACAAATGCACTTAAAATTCTGAGAATTGCTATGAATTTATGAATTCAAATAAAATGAAGTTCACAAATTTAATTTTAAATCAAATAAAACTAATTATTTGTTTTACAAGACTAGACAAAGGGTTTAGAAATTATATTTATTTAATTAATATAAGTTTTAAAGTCAATACCGGTAACAGGATAATGAAGTCATATTTGATTAGTTCCTTGATTACAGACATAGTTTTGAATAAAGTGTTATATTTAATTTAATACAAGTATTACAAACATTTGAATAACTTTGAGTTAAGAATAGCTTATAAGGGAATCTCAAGAATAATAACACAGTATAATAATTATATTAAGTATAGATTATTAATTAAAGAGTTATTCACTTAATATACAATTTAATTAGGTTTATTATAACTAAGGATGTTAAAATACGATATTTAATTTTTTGGTTGTATTATACGTGTATTATACGGTATAATACGGTATTATGTATTTTATGGTATTTTATATTTATTAAAGTATAAGAACACAAATATTATATATTATAGATTCTACATTTGCCTTCAATTTGAATGAAATATTTAAGACAATTACATCTATTTCTACATAATTTAACAAATAATTAATTGTTAATTAATTATATAATAAATTTCAACAAAATTAATAAGCATTTGACCATTGTATTAGATTTTAAAACATTTGGCGCCAGTTTCTTGTATGTTAAGATACATGTATTTTATTTTTGATTTGGTATTATACGCGTATTATACGTGTATAATACATGGTATTTTATGTATTATACGGATACTTACATCTCTAATTATAACTTATAATTTATAAGCGTTAAAAGTTATAAGCTTATGTCTTAAATTTTTGCATTATACAAATATTTGTTATAAATAATTTAATAAATTTTAAAATTATTAAAATTTAAGAAAATAAAATTATTTATTATTTATGAATTAATGAATTCATATTTTTATAAATATTAAAAGGTTTTTAATAAATAACTCTATGGATATTTGTATGATATCACAATCTACTTGGTTTTTATTACATTTTTACTTATTATAAAATAAACTTTAATATTGTTATTAATAAAACTT